CAGTAGGTCTTGCACCTCGAAGAGCGTAACTGGCACACAGTCATTATCAATGAGTGCAAAGTGCTGTGCAGGGTACAGGAAACGCGCTGCCTCTAGGACAAAGACCCCTGCCCAATAGTATGGAACTTTATGAAGGCCAGTAGTAGCATCAGCACAGATCCACAGTATGTCAGTCCTCTCGTCTTGGGGACCCACCAGACTTCTGCGTGAGGCCCACCAGGCAGCGAAAGCCGGCCAATATGGGACAGCAGCAGGTGTTCGATTGTCCACAATTAGGTAAATCATGTGATTGTTCATGATCAGGTCTCGGTGTGAGATGAGGGTCTGAATAATGGCAGTAGTATCAGGCAGCTCTCCCTCTGTTTCGAGAGCAGCATACCCCTCGTCCTTTTTGGATGGCTGCGCACGAACGTCAGTCAGACCAAGTGTAGGCCGAGCAGAGTCAAGACCGAAAGGACTGCTAAGAGTGTCTTTCATAGTCAGTGCTGCATAGGCTTCATTCTGGGACTGCGCCACACTATCTCCCGTGCCCCTGGCAAAGCAGGCTTGGCCATCCATGGTCAACCAGTCTGCATGGTCACGTGTGAAGACAAAGGGAGCAGGGACTCCATTCTCTGTGGTGTCCGTTAGGTCCAGTGAATTACTGTCTTCCATCCACGGGTCATGTGACATTCGAGTTTCGCTGTATGACAATGCAGGTATAGCCCCCGCCAACTAAGGTTGGCCGGTGCCCCGGCGGCGAAAGCACACGAAAGGGCAAGACGAATGAAGTCAGCTAAGGCTGACCTCACTCCTGCATGCAGGGCACTACGACCTGCTGTGAGCCAAACGTTGCAGCAAAGTGCTTCCATGAAAGATCAACTGTATTAAGCATAGTGCCAGGGACACCTGTTCAACCTATACTGCCATGGAGGGAGACTCACGATTGTGTCAGGGGCATATCAGGGGCCCTGCCACTACTGATCGTGGTCATCCGCATGTGGGTGTAATAGAGAAAATAACCATGCTACGTAAACCAGGCCACACAGCTGGGTATGTAGGTCAGTCAGGGGGGTGAGTAGCGCACCCTGCACATCATGAGGCAAAGAGTCCACTGTTTGTTCAATTTCCTGTACCAATGCATGCAGACTTTGCACTCTTGCATGCAGGGCTGATTCGATCTGGTGATGCGTACGGTCTGTGTGACGCTGTGGGGGCGGTTGCGCAGTTGGTTGCGTGTCTACTCGAAGGACATGCTGTTGTTGTCTGTCGGTAGTGGACCAAAAGCCTACTCGCCGAGGAAGGGAGGCTGAAAAGGGGCGTGTCTGCAGAAAGATGTCAAAGGGGTCTGCGTTCTCAGAAATGGTCCTAGCGCTCACTGCTTCAGCCAGCACATTGAGGAGGTGGCTTTCGTGGTGCTGTATGTGCAAAATCATCCTGCGGAGTCGAGTTCGCTTTGCGCCATACGTTGTGGCTCCCCTGGTGTTGATTGCAATACAGCCCTGATGATAAAGCGGGATGATGGCCCCTTCAACGGTTGCCCGGAGCTTTAGCAGAGCTGGCGGAAATTCAAACCCTTCTGTCCATTCTGGGAAGGGGGTATGTACGTTTTCTTTGACTGCATCAACCGGGAAGAAATGAAGTAAGTAGCACCGCTCTCTCCTCCCCCGATAGACGAAGGTTACAATGAGGTCTAAGACCCCATATCGAATGTCCTGATGGTCTAGTTCAAAACGAACAAAATCAGTGACATCAACGTAGGTACCATCATCTGCCAGGAACAAAGGTTCTGGATGCGCCTGCATGGCTAGTTCGACTTGCAGTTTGTCTTTACACCGATGTGCGCAGGCTAGGTCAAGAGTCGAGTCGGCTGATGTGATTCAAGAGAAGAGCTGTCAAGCTATTCTGTCAATCTATTTCTCTCACTCTGAGCCAAAAGTCTGCAGGGACAAATGGAGACAATTATGGGGGCCCATGGAAGAGTGGGGAAGGGGAGCAAGCAGTCTCGTCTCAGGTTCACTGGACAGGGCACTTCTTTGGGTGCGCAAATGCACGCGGCGGTGGTAGATGCTCTTGCGCGCCGTCTTCCGCAACACGGTAATGAACATTTCCTTGTGTAATGCACTGCTGTGCCGGGAGTCTACTGCTTGTGGCCTGTCGGGGAGGCCAATCACTGGCCGGCGCTAGGGTTGGCGGCTTCGCCATTCCCCCCGGGTGAGTAGGTGGGGGATCTGCAGAAAAGGAATTTTCTTTGCAAACGGGTTGTGGGATGCATTTGGGTTGTGGGGGGGTGGGTGCCAAGCTGTGCGCAATTGTCAAGCTCTGTCATGGACATTTTGCCATACATATGGCAGGCTTTGTCCTGGAGATATTGCCATACTTAACTTCCTGCTGGGCTAATCACTTTTGGCAGGCTTTGTCCTGGAGTTCCATGCTTACTGCTGGGCTGCTCATGCTTATTATTGTTGATGGGCTATGTTCTGGTGCCTTGCAAGTCAGTCCCTTGCAAAGCACCAAGCTCCAATCCCAAATAAGAGTACTTGAGCCATGCCCTCGCTATGTTCTGGATTCCTTGCAAAAGGACTGACTTGCAGAGCACCAAGGTCCTTCCCAAAGAGGGTACTTGAGCCAAATAACAACCACCCCCTCGCTATTTAAAACTACGAGTGGGTTTGTTTTCCAGCTACCACAAGGAAAAAAACACCCACACACACAACCTCACAACCAAACCAAACCATGCCCACACACACACATTGCACATTGTCCTTTCAATGTTTCAACGCTCTTTTCAAAAATTATTGAAAAACTTATGGTTGCTATTTGGCCTTCTGTGTTGCACATTGTCGTCACCATTTGGGCGACGCAACGCTTATTATAAACTTGTGCGTCTTCAAAGTTGGTACCACAGCTTGCAGGTGCACAATATGCCTTGCTGGTCTTTGGTCAAAATAAAGACATTTGGGCTCACCATGTTTCACCCGTTCACTACATGTAGAGCGCATGCCTGGAGTGTGTAATTGTCATGATTATTGTTGTGCGCATATACCACACATACTATGGACAAACCATGGAGCTACACAGAAGACACACATCAAACGACAGTAGCGGCAGAGGCGTGCTAAGGTTTTTTGTGCTCTCGTCTTCGCGCCAGCTGTCACGTCTCATCTCCAGGCCAAAGGTTCTCATGGCCAAATTCACTCCACATCCTCTGGGGCAGGTTTGGGCGGTTCAACCGGATCTTCCTCCGGCGCCTCTTCCTCACCCCCTTCAGGATCGCCCATCGGATCAGACATCAGCTCACACGCCGGCCCAGAAGGGGCACCAGGACGGCTCTCAAGCGTTTCCGGAACTTCGACCGCTCCATCAGCACCAGGCATGGGTGGGCCGTTAGGCATTGGTACCCTCACAGCTGAAGAGCTTGCGCCTGACGCAATTTGTCACTGACGGGGTATATAAAAATCTTTGTAATGGGGACAACTGTTTTTTACACTCCTCAGCTTCCAACCGGAACGCTCGGATTCAATGAAGTCTTCAAACAGAGTATCCTCAATCTTGACACAAAAGATTGCACGACTAGCAAAGCAACCAAGTCTAATAACAACTTGGGAATCGGCCGCAACATCACGAACATACGCCACCGTTTTACCGATCACCAAATAGTTCCGGCAGATTTCCTGGGATGAGGTTCGCACGTGCGCCGAACACAAAAACATATTCTGTCTTCCATATATATTATATATATAAATATATAAGCCCGTGGCAGCGATCTCTTTCAAGCGATCCCAATTCTTGACGTCCAGTGCGCCAACCTGGAACCACACGAAACTATATAGGCCCTTGCTATTTGAAGTGGTGGAGCCACCTGAAACGCTTCGTGGCCGTCGCAGGCACAAGCATACTTGCCACTGCGCTTGTAGAAGTACAGCTTGCTGATCTTTCGGTCTAGACCTGTGGGTGTGTTGCACACGCGCGCGCACGTCGTTTCTACGTTGGTTCCATTCTGTTGGTTCAAAGTTCTAGGCGCTCTACATCGTTTCCCCACCTCCCCCGTGAAGCCATGAGTCTGGTCGTGGCATGCGACGCTTGCCACCTCCCTCTGTTTCTGCGTTCCCAGTGCTTGCCGGTGAAGCAGCAGGGCGTTTCAAGGCAGGCTTGCGGAACACAGCAGGTTCAGGTTCCTCTGGTTGCTTGTCGTCTTCATTTCCCTCACCACTCACAACTTCTGTGGGTTTTTTGGCCTGGGCAGCTGCTGCATCGGCCGTATCGGGGTCCTTCTTGTTTGCTGTTTTCTTCTTTGGCAAAGTTTTGGCTTTCTCCTTGGGCAATGGTTTAGGTTTGGCCTCCGGTGATGGCTTGGCTTTGGCTTTAGCTTTGGCTTTGTTTTTGGGCGAGGCTTTCGGTTTGCCTTTCGGCTTTGGGGCTGGGGTCGCAGCTTGCCCTGTCGGGGCTGGAGGCGCATCCTCATCCTGGCAAATTCAATTAGACACAAATGATTCTTGTCAGGGGCGTTGAGACCAAATTGAGACAACTCAAACTCAGAGACCAAGGTCCACACCTCTGATAGCTTCTCAACAGGTGCAAACACACCCATTTTTGCCCAACAAATTTACTGTATCTTGCAGCGTCGTACACAGAGCTGAGAGCAAAACAGGCCTGCGAACAAAACCATTGAATTCCAAACGAAGCAAGTCGCCAGCTTAGAATGAATTCTGATCCATTCAAGCGCTGGCCATTCCAAGAAACAAATGCAAATTGTTTCCGCAATTGATTTTTTTACATGCCCGAACTGCCAGCTGTCAATCACGCCAATCGCTCCCTATCTCACACTAGCTTGCTCCAGGTCTTTGGTGGGAGCTTGTGTTTTCCCAGCAAGTAAACCTTTGGCTTCACACCAATCACTTTTGCATTTCCGGAAAAGGTCTGCAAATCTACCTCAGACAAAAATCCATACAAAGAACATCTTACTGTAATTTTGCATGACCATTATGATCCATTATGTGTGTAAGCAAGACCCTGACCAGTCAAAATTGAATGCAAGATACCTCCCATACCACTGTGGCAGACTTGCATTTGGGTAACTTGTCCATGTGGTTCACATACGCTGCGCCGATCGATCCGTGCCTCAAACAGCGACATGGACATGGGCCATACTAGACAAACAAACATGGACATGGAGCACAAGCTGCTCGCGAAACACCCGCAACAATCATGTTCCGACAAACGGCTTGGGGTTCTCTCCAGCTTTCAAAGCGTTTGGGTTGAAGACGTTACATTTACCGGCCCGCGCCACGGTGACGGTGTAGCGATAGGGCACTGGCAGGGCGTCCTGCCCCTCCACAACCTGCAATCAATCTTTGTGATACACCGCTCTAGCTTAAACTCCAAAGCATGTGGCCGTGTGGCCTGATAGGTCTTCTGAATGATCTCGTGATTTGCAAGTTCGAAGGTCGCAATGCCATTCACTGTAATGATTTGATGAAAAAGCTTCGACAGTGGCATTGGTTTCTTTTCATATGCCACCATGGCAAGGTCGTTCGCAATGCGAAAGGGAAGTCCGGTCATTTCATTCTCGCCCATGCCTGGGTGAGCACAATCATGACAGAACAACCGTAACCTCCTGCCCCCCCCCACCAAAGCATCAGAGAACAAACAATTAGACAATAGAAGCAACCAGGGAACCTGACACAATCTTTTCTTCGAATGAGCCAACGTTAAAGCCACAGATTTCAGAAGCCTCCAAGGAAAGCTCATGGTCACCATCGTTTCCGATCCACAAGTTGAACTCCGAATCCACACACACTGCCGGCTTGCCACGCGCAGAGGGGCAAAAAGCTTTCCTGCGGATTTGATGACAAATAACGGGCACAAGTTCATGAATTCACTTGTGAAACCAATGCTGGGAGGAATGTCCTGAACAGAAACTGAACGATATGTTTGGGCGACCCCCCAGTCCTTGTAACCTTGAAGTCCGCCTCTTTCACCACAGCCAAGTTCAAGTCTTCGGACAAATCTTGTGGCCTGGCGCCCCCTTCTATTGAATAGTCCGGCTGGCCCTGCGCCCGAACCGTGCCTGCTGATGGAGAAGCTGTCACTGATGCATCCGCGCCTGCCTCTGGGAAGTTCCTCAAAAGCTCTTGCTTGAACTCACTGATCACCTTGTGACTGGCTGAGCCTTCCGAGAATTTGTTCAGCAAGGCATCTGGGAATTTGGGGCGCCCAGACACCCATGTCAGCAAATCCAGCGTAGGGTCAGGCTTTGCCTCAGAAGGCCGGGTTTTTGCCGGCGCAGTTGCGGATGAATCCCAGTGCGAATATATCGCAGCCTCGAAATCTGCAATGCAATCCTTCTGGTCCTCCCTCAAGAATCCGCAATAGTAGACGTCTGGTGACCCTCCACCTTGAAGAAGGCGCTCGAGAACAGCACGGCCAAATTCCACTTGCCTTCAAGAGTTGTCCATCTTTGAGTCTTTGAAAGAAAGCAATTCAATTCACAGCATGTTGACAACAACCTAAACGTCAGGGGTCATGGAGGGAGATTGAGAGAACCACGCCTGTTTGGCAAAAGGTCGCACCAAATCACGACATCCGTGGATCCAATATCAGCACCACGCAGGTAGTTCGCGAGGATCTGGGAGTGAGCGGGGACTCCTTTCCTAGGCATCACATCGGGTCGCGCTGCCAAAAAAACATTTGCGCAAACAAAACCCTCAAGCCAAAACACATGAGACAAGCAAGCCGTGAGTCTGCTCCGTGCGCGCGGAGGCACCAGGCCTGCTCCCCACTTCAAGGTCATATCCAAGCATCTCGTTCACTCGGATCAATGGGATGTCAGCAATGTGGCCCATTTGCACAGGCGCACTTGAAGACCACACGTTGGTCTCGTTGTGGTTGGTGCTTGACACGAAAAGGCATGGATGGACCAGCGATCTCTTGTCTGCAGAAGTGCTTCCACTTGACGTTTGGAAGATCAGCGTCACATTCTTTGTGATGTCCATGTTGTGCCCAATCAGAAAGTCTTCCAAAATCCTCCGGTGTTTGACCAGCGCCTGCGGCACAGTCTGCGCCTGGGGCATTGGCACCTGCAGATGTCCGCCGCATTTTGGAAACATAGCCAACACTGAATGCAACGCCTGCAAGCAGGCCTGCAAATAGCCCATATTTGAAGGCCACACGCAGCAGTCAAGTGAAGTCATGACATGCCTCAAGCTGGGAGGAATGAGACACATCGTCTCACAAAGTGGGAATGGAAACTCCACCTAAATCAAAAAAATACAACTCATCATTCCGAAACACGCTGAACCGGTGGAAGTCTTGGTTTCCCATTCGCACAGGAACTTGGCAAACTCTGGGAAAAGCTGCTGCGGATTTCGCTCATCGACCATATGCACCTGGAACTTCTGCTGCATGAACTCTTTCACAAAAGCCTGCCCCTTCCTGCAGCATTTGTCAGAAGGCTAATTGTTGCGCCACAAAAATTACAATAGAACCAAAGCGTGACCTCGCTTGTTATGAAGGATGTTCATATTTGTGCCACAACTCACGCAAGGCTTCTGACAAACACACTAGCTGGCGACATGATGGTTCAAAACTCAAAAACAAACCGTTGCTGGAATGTCTGGCAAAACACGCTTGGCGTTGAGCCAAATATTTGGAATCCAGCATTGCCTCTGCTGCTGCTTGTTCTTGGGTAGGCTGGCGATCCTTAAGGGTTTTCATATCGCTCTCAAATCGGTGGCGGATTTGCTCCAACGTGGCTTCATCCACCTTGTCTTGGAGCTCGCGAGCTTTGTCCTGGGCCTCACGGGCTTTCCGCCCCTCAACCGCAGCGACCGTGCTCCTCTGTGAAGGTTTGAACTGCAAACACAAATGTAAACACTCTTGGGCTAAACACGCTAAGAGTAAACAAACTTTGCACCCAGAAGGCAGGTCCTCACAAAGCGCACATTGCTCAAAGCTATCGGCGGAACTGAGTTCTCCATAAAGCTGAGGACGTCATGGTCAAGCACCCCCATAGCAAACTGGTTGCGAATCTCTGGTTCGGCCTCCACAAAGTCGGCTTGTGGGACACTTTGTTGGAAACACTCCATGATCGCGATGAAACCACCACAGGCGGCGTGCAGGAGGGCAACGTCCTTCGCAGCAAAAGCTTTCTTCAACTGTAGTGGCTGCCGGTCCCTATCCCCACGCAATCGGTCCATCAAAAGCATCACCTCGGACAAACCACAAGCCAGTGGCCACATGACAGCGAACACCTCGCAAGTCACACACCCCGACACCTAGCCAGGGTTCTAAGTCAAAGACGCAAGGATCTGTTCCGACACACTGGGCAAACAAGATTGTCCATCCACAACAAGTTGTGTGTGCAAGTTCATGATATTTGGTGCGAACAGACTATATTGATTTCGGCCTGGTTACTTTATTGCGCTTTCCCTAATGTCTTTTTGTTGCCACGAACAGTTTGCAGCTTGGAGCCAATGGCACTTGGCACTGGGTTGGGTTTAAAGGCACCAGTGGCTGGCGCGAGAGCTAAGAGTATGTGGCAAACCAAGTCTTTTCTGCGTGAGACAAGGGCTCAACGGCTGGATACAAAGGATGGACACAAAATAACGACTAGCTCACGCCAGACTTGGACATGACATGAAGAATGAAAACCAGTTTTGGTGGCAACTGTTATATCCTCGGAATTCGCTGATTCGTTCACTCGGTTTGAACACCCAACGGTGCCAAACATCCACAACTACAAAAATGTCCATCCGACTTTAACAACCATCACAAGACCCACAGCACAGACAAACAGTAGCAACATTAATTAGCACACCACGTGACCCAGCCAAGCAAACAGCAGCAACACCGCCATGACACCCAAACAAACAGCTCTAAACTTTAAACGGTACACGCTTGCCCAGGCAGCCAAATGACAATCGCGTTGTCATGGCCATTCGTCAGATAGCGAGCCCATGGTTCCAACCCAGCGACAGTGGAAGTGTACGAGACATTGAAAAAGTCCCGCGCAAGTACCTCGTGTGTGATGAACTGCCGCATTACCCGGCACCTTGTCGCTTCCTTGAGTGCTGTCACCATCAGTGGTGCAATTTTGCATTGCAAATTGGTCAGTGACTCGGCCTCCAACTTGCCCACCGTAAATGCCCGCGCCACTTTGGTAGCATCGTGCCAATCCTGATGACAACAACCCCCAAGCACACAAATTCAATTGAAGTCTGAACGCAGCGCTCCTTGAAGTCTCCAGAATCTCCGCTTTTTTGAAGGATCTCCAATTGGCGCAAAAAATTCATCGCGTTTGGGGCCTTCCTCGTCCCAACACTCGCAAGTGTGATTCCTTCAGGTAATCTTCCACAAAAATATCAAACATACTTGTTGCAATGTCCAAAGTGCTTACAAGCTAGTTCATCAACCTGTTCAACAAGAACCTTGCAAGGCGCTCCTCTAGAGGCCCAAACGGCACTCTTCGTGGAATCAAACCTCCCGACTGTCCCATGGATCACTCGCATCGACTCCTCCAACATCATGGGCTAACAAGCCACAAGGGTCTCAACAAGGTGCAAACATATTGTTGTGTGGAATTCTAGGTGAGGTCGCCTTGAAATCTGCCGTCAAGTCATCAAGGCTGATGCCCAAAGTCCTGATACCTTCACAGGAGATCAACGCACCCAAACTTCGGCGCCAACCCTTCACGTAGGCTACCGAGAAAGGGGGGAGGAGCTTCTCGCCTCAGGTCAAATCGCATGGTTTCAGAGTCGAATCCGTAGCTGTCCTCACAGTGAGGCCACGACTATCATCTCCTCCAGTATCGAGATGGGCCATGGGCTTGTATGGTGCCTGCAACCAAGCATCAACTGGTGGCCAGATGCTGAGTTTCTCAGTTCCTGGATTGTCCGCATCTGTTCGGAACCTGGGATGCAAGGCCAAAGCAGTCAACTAAATCATCGAATGCTGCCTGTCGCAGCCGTCTAACACAAAGAATGACAGGAAAAAGGAAATCTAAAATTACACATCTGAAGAACCCCTGGGACAGGATGAGCTCAATCAAACAGACCATGTCTGATGGCTCTGCCATCCCGGCTACGCCGAAGTCTGTTCTGAATCCTAACTGCCATGGTCGCAGAATCTTTCCACCAGGATTGAGGTCCACACTGTACGCCACCCTTGCAGCACAGCCACAAAACAACAAACGTGATCAACAACTCATCAGCAATCACTTGGGTAAAATCAACTGATCAGCATTTGCTAAGTTCAAAAAAATGGGGCCTGTCACTTGCCGGAAACGCGTTGTCCAACCACATAGCCCAATCGCGCGCGTCAGCCTCCCAGCCGGAGCAGGTCCAAAGTCAATTGCACGCACACCAGCAACCCTAACCTGCTTCTGGTATTTGTTCATGAGGTATACGTCGGGCCCGCCAGCTGGGACCACAGTTTCCTGAAACCTGGCCAGGGTTGGCCCTGCGTCAATGTCCAACCAGCAAGTCAGTATTTAATTTGCAAACTAAACTCTGAGCAACATCACGCAAGCCACGTACTAGTTAAAGCCCAAGCAACCACTCAACGATCTTGGCGATGTGTGGGTACTCACTGGCGATGGCTGACTGCTTCTGGTTTGAAACCTTTCTACTTTTCCCACCAACCCCAGAACCAATGGAAACACGTTTCCCCATGGCACAAGCCCGGGAAACGCGCCCAGGGAAAACCCAACTGGCTGAGCCAAGTTCACCTGCAAAGGTCCGTGCAAGTCACACGACCCTTGTTTGCCACATAATCACAAACATTTCACATTGCCACAAAGTTATATAGTGAAAACACCTGTCTCACGTCCTTTCCAGCTAGGACGACACTGCACTCTGGATTGCTTTGTCGCCAGCCTGCCATCACAGAAAAACAAAAACAACTTCACATAGTTCACACAACTTCAGCAAGGTGTACAGAGCTTGTGGGAGCACACTGTTCAGAACAATGCAAAACTATGGGAATTGCACTCCCACAGCGGGGCAACACTTTTTTGCCAGCGCACCCCGCACAGTGTTGGAAGTCCTTTACGAAGCCTTCAAGAGCTTCACCCACTTAACTTGCCCCCGCTTGAATGTAGACTTCAAAACTTGTGGGGCTTTGTATGCGGCAGGTTTCTCTAACACCCAGGCATACAATTTCCGAACTTTTGATCCCCACAACTTCGAGTGTTGGCGGCCTGGGAGAATGACAGCACCGTTCCAAGGAATCACGTCGTAACACACTTGGTGGCGACTCTGGTTGCTGTCTAGCCACATGAAGTTCTCTGGCTTGTGAGAAGGAGGCAAAAACTTGAGGCCCACACAGACACCAGATGGGTTCCGGACGAGGTGAACAACCGCAACTTCCAAGCACTTCACCAGTGTCACTTCACCATGCAACATCCTGGTTTTGTACTGTGTAGATGCAGTGGTGTTTGCCAACGCAAAGCGCCCTCGAAAAGTAGAAGGCATCGTCCGAATCTCCCATGTTTTACCGTTGCGCAGGATTTTCTGAATCCATTCGTCGTGAATAAGGAGAGCTCGGTCACACAAGCAAAGCTCCGAAGCCAAAGGTGCCCCAGTGGGGCTCTCACACGCTTCACGCCCCGCATGGTCAACAGGCAAAGTGACCGACATGGAGCACGCCAAGGCCTGTCTAGAAACAATTGCAACCCTGCTACGATGCAAACCCTTGAGCAAATGTATATTAATATACATATGTCAAGGCTTCGCGCGGCGCTATCAATCATAGTTTTCAGGTTTGAACCGTGGTCGAAGTTCGGATGAGAAAGGCACAACGTGTCTACTAGGAACTTCAACCCCACTTTGTGACCTTCGTTTACAAATCGTGAGCTGTTGCCAACGCTGTGATCTTGGACCATCGCGTGGCAAAGGGTCTTTCCCACACAGAAGTTGGAGCGCGTCGCTCAACAGGCTTGACAGTGAGAAAGGGAACACCAAAACAATGATATAGCCGCTCTAGCTTCTTGCAGATGAAATATTTGAGCAATAATTTCCCGTTGGAAAGCTCACAGGTGTGGCTCAAATAACAGGATACATCAACATAATTAATAAGAAATGGCAATGATCATGTTCCAGTCTCCTGACATGCACTAAAAAACATAGCCATAGTTGTCACACGCTTCGTGACTTAACCGGTTCCTTGCCTCGTTTGCTGCCACCACTCTTACCACCATATGCTTTGTCCTCGTCCAACCAGTTACCCACTAAATGTGCTTCACATGGTTCACATGGGTCCAGAAACACGGTCCAGGTTTACAACCCCGTTCGGCTGACGCTCTGTAAAACTTAAGACACAGCGGGTTGGAAATCAGACGCCAAAAACTCCTAAAAGCCACCATCTCCAACACTGGCGTGAAAATCCGACACTTTCCTGGTGTCATGAGGGGTCAAAATCCGACACTCTTTTGGCAACACGCTCTCAAGAATCCGACACTTTCTCGATGCCAAGCACCTCCAAAATCCGACACTTT